TTTAGTCCCTTGCTATGTACATATATATTGAAACCACAGCTTATTTTAAGAAAACAGATAGTATAAATATTTAGATAAAATCGAAGTTTAAGCACACCTGACAATTAGAAAAAATCATCAAAAAGAGAATGGCTCTTGCTTGTTGAGGTCTTATTTGTTTGTTTTTTGTATTTTTTGTTTTTGTTTTTGTTTTTTTACTTTTTTACTTTCATGTACTCAAAATCATGAACAAAATTTCTTGGTACAAATGAATCAGCTACCTTACGGAAGAAAAGAGAAAAAGAAAAAGAAAAGAGTACTGTTGTAACAAGCTTAATTCTACCAACTCTTCTGTAAAGTTATTTCAAGTAAAAAGTAAAAGATAATGTGATTAAGATCCAATCAATTTTTTTTTAAAAGTAGAGATATATTTATCAAAAACTATTCAAATAATGTTGTAAAATGACAATTGCAAATGCAAAATTTTGTATGCTTGATGAATTCAATGTATGCTTGATGAATTCACACTAGTAGCTTAATGTGTACCATGAACACAAATCATTAATGATTTGTTCATCCATCGTTATAATATTTCATTTTTCATTTTTCATTTTTTAAATTTGTATAAGAACATGCACAATTTTACCTATCTCATGTAATTTTTACATTAGTGATTCCCACATTTATTCGTAATGTAGTTAAACCGATTAGATTGGAATTATGTGTGCTCAGAAAAAAAAGAAAAAAGGAAAAGAAAAAGTCATTCTAATCCGTTTAAATATACGTAGTGAAAATATCTTTCCATTTCCTCCATTCTTATTTTTATTTTTTGATTATAAAAAAAAAGTAATTTGTTCATTTTCTAGTTCCATACTCTGCACAAGGTGTACTGTTTTACTATTGCTTTTTGTGCATTCAGAAGTACACCTTTAAACAAACTACGACATAATCCCTCTTCAGTGGAATTTTCTAAAGTAATTGAACTATCTTCAATAATTTGTAGTTTTTTCATTATTTGCCTTAATGTCAACTTTCTTTGTATCAAAGTAAGGTATAAATTACGAATTCAAAATTGAAGAACACGTATGATTATAGAAACAAGAAAGAAAATAGCAAAAACAAGAGAATTTGGTTGCAAAGCCTTTACAAAGCAGAATGTTAAGTTGAAATGAAAATGTTCAAAGTAATTATAGAAAGGGATATGGAACAAACAAGAGTATATAAACATGCATAAATGCCTACCTTACTTTGGTTAAAATCACAACATTGATTTGCCATACATCCCTCTATCTCTCTCTCTCTCTCTCTCTCGCTATATATATATATATATATATATATATATGAGCATAAGTGCAAATAAAAAAACTACCTTATAGAAAAGGATTATGAAATATAGATTTGATTTCTATTTCCAAACACGGAAACATAACATGAATTTTAGTTTTTTAAATTTTATTTAATTTTCGCTGAACAGAAAATATATATATATATATATATATATATATATATATGGTTTTCATTTATCCTTGCAAGAAAAGTTAAGTGTTTTAGAAGTTGTCCAAAGTAATTTTGAAAAAAAGCATTCATCCAATAGTTGACTATACCATGAAATTTTAGAAATTTGGGCGTGCTCCTAAAAACTACCACTTTGTACATTCTAGAATAATATTTGAACTTCACAATAAAATTAACTGTGTTTTGTTAAGTAATAAATTTATTATAAAACTCTTAGAGTAAAACAGATAAGATTAAATTATATATATATGCATAATTTAAGTTTCTTGTAATTTTTGTTTATTAAATGAATTGAGAAATTTAAAGTCAGCTAATTGATGTACAATCAATTTATTCAATTATTGATAATCAAAAATGTAAGATTGTCTTATTTAATTATTTAAATTTCTACTATCTATGTCTAAGAAAGTTAAGAAAAATCCACAAAAGAAATTGAAATATTCTTACAAGTATTTTGATGTTCAATTATATTTCTGTGCTTTAACCTTAAAAGATATGTATATATATATATATATATATATATACATACATTGAACCAGTGAATTGAAAATATTCATAAATATTTTTCCTTTTTAAAATATAAATAAAAGTCATAAATATCAGAAAGGTAAAGAAACATAATATTTAGATGTTTTTTATATGTGGAAAATGGCATTTTGCATATGTGTTCCAATTACATGATCGAAGAAATCATTTTCAACTTTTTTTTAACTGCACAACTCACAACTATAGCAATGAGCAAATCTGGATTTAAAATTTATGCAAAATTTGATAGATAGTATATAAACTATTTAATTTTTTTGGATTGTGTGGATTTACTTTTATACTCCTTTTCAAAGTTAATCTTCATTTGCAATGCTTTTCTAATCCATAAATTTTAGTTCATTAACTTGTTTATCTTGCTTGAACCATTAAATTTAATTTTCATTGGATTATTTATATTTTAAATTTAACAATACAACAACTAATATTCTCCATGATGTGCTATAATCTACTACATGAGTGTAAACCATATATACACACACAAACACACACACAATGCTTTTCAAGTTCATAAACTGTTGTGACATGGTTTTAAAGTATTTTTTAATGTTAAAAAATTATATTAATCTAAAATTTTCTTTAACCAAATTGACACTAATGGTGATCTCTTCTCAGTATAAATTGTTTTATAAACAGAGACAGAACATAATAATAATAGTATTAAAATAGACTCAAACCACAAACCTGATTTTAGACATAACTTAAAATATACGAGTAGTACTGACAAGATACACAAAACTTATAAATCATCTCTTCAGTCATACATATATATATATATATATATATTTAAACACCAATTCCTTTTTCAGGAACAGCTGAAACCATACTATACTAGACAACCCATACAAACCAAACCCAACCTTACTAAAGCATTGAAAAACTCCTTTTCTAGATTCCCACCGTGACAATGCACTATGCAACGCACTCTTAATTGCACAATAGAAACCACCATCAGCACCACCTCCCTCCCTCCCTGAAAAAAACCATTCACCTCGCAACACTGCATGAGCACCCCCATTATATGTGCCTTCAACATCAGGTATCCAAAACCAAGACATGGAAAAAAAAACACAGTCGAAATCTACTGGAAACACTAAAGCACTACGAGTTTGCAAATGCTGATGTTACTCCTGTTGCGGTGTTTGTTTGTTTGTTTGTTTTTTCTTTACGACTGGGTCGATGGTTGAGGATCGTGGTCACCACTGTTGCGAAGACGAGGACGAGGACGACGACTTCGGCGTTTGTAAGCAGGGTGGTGGTGTGATACAGGAGGAAGGGAAATGGGGGTGGGGGAGGAGGTGGCCCAGACTACTGCAGGGGTTTTGTGAAGGTTTTTGCAGCGAATCTAGTTGATGGGTCACACCCTGCGGGGTGAGGTGGGTACAGCGATGGAGCAGCCTGAGCTTGGGAGCATTGATCGACAGATAGATAGATGGATAGACACGCAGGCAGAGAGCTAGATGTCTCGGCTTTGTGGGCTATGCAGGAGATTCCTGCGCGTGGGGAGCCAATGATTTGTGGACGCTAGGGAGGGAAGGGATGGAGATCTACACGGCGCCGAGATGGTCCTTGGCCCCTGCTGCCGGGCTTAGCTTGCTACAACAAATCCACTGTCGCCCGCGGCGGGGAGCAGAGGTGCTCAAGCGCTTGCAGTTCAGCTGCTGTAGAGACGATCCAGCTTGCAGGTGGTGGAACTTGGTGCTTGCGACATGCTCGCAACGGGATGGGGGGAGGGGGGAGATGAAGAATCATGCGCTTGAAGATTTGATCTGTGCCAACAAGATTTGGCGACCACTCTTTCATCCACTGCTAGTGGGGTGTTGAAATCGAGACTTGGGAAGCAGCTGAACGCTGCCGCGCCAACCCCCCCACCCCCACCTTATTTACACACAGGAAGGGACACATCACACAGACTGAATCTACCCCTGGAAAATGGAACCATCGGAGTGTACTGTGGAAGAAGCAACCGAGAGCACAGAAAAATGGCTGGTACCATGGGGGCCAAAAAATGAAGTTGTGCAAAAGGGCATTCTTGGATAGCTCTATCTCTAGAGGAAATTCCAAATGACTATTATACAACACACATGGAACCAATTACATAATAATAATTAATAAACAAATGAAATTAGTGGTTGTGGATGGATGCTCATGTCATTCTTTTATCTGTCCATTCTCTCACCGAGGATTTAATGGCCCTTTGGTGAGAGTATCAAGCTCTGATAGGATAACTTGCAAGTTTCTTGCCCATTTGCCTTGAAGCACACGGCTTTTCAAATCAAGTGATGTTTTCCATAGTGTATTCTGAGAGAGAGAGAGAGAGAGAGAGAAATATATAAAAAAATGTCACTATTATTAATGTTGATTTTTGTTTCGTAAATTTAATCAACTTAAATTGTTAGTCTCACAATTTAAGTTGGTTAAATTTATGTATATCTACATGGTTGTCTGTATGTCTGAGTGGGTGTGTAAGAGTTAGTAGAAGATGACGAGTGAAATATCCATTTAATAGGGGGGTTGGGGGAGTGAGGAAATTACACGTTTGCCCTTTGCAGCTGGGAGCTGCTCGCCTGCATCCTCATCCAAGGGCGAAGCACTATCCTGAACCTCCTAATTTGTGTGAGCCAGCCACTTCCTATTAGAAAATCAAGGAAAATCTACGGAAAAGGATCCAACCACAGGCCAAACATAGAGAAAACTAATGAAGATGCGAAATTAGCATTGCCATTTAAGCGCGGCGGAAAACCACACGTGATTAACCGCAGGGGCAGAGAGTGTTTTAATTTCTTCTTTTTTCTTTTTCTTCAGAGGCAGTTACTGGGATGGTGAGAAAAGCGGGTGAGGCCAAGTACCAGCGACAGAAGTCTGGCGCAAGGTAATTCTACGTATAATGTAGAAGTGCGGAAGGCGCGGAGGTCCGGAAGGGGGAGTCTACTAATTTAATGAGCGGGGGCCGGCGTCCAAGGGAAAATTCCATTTTCTGTTCTTACACTGGCAGCTGAGAGAAGCACGGAACACTGGGAGGGACATCTAGAAAGCAGAAGAGGCCGGGGAAGGGAAAGAGGTGGGGACGCCAAAGGTGCATGCGCTCTGCCTCCGCATTGTCTGGGCTGGTTGTGCGGCAGTGGTCGCAGGAGTCGTCGCCAACGGGGACACACACACAGACACACACACAGACACACACAGTCGCAAGTGATTGAATAGGTTAGTAGTGTGTTACGTTGCGCAGCTCACACCACTGTCCGATGCTTTGTTCCTCGTTAGAAAAAGTAGCAGCCTCACTAGTCTGTCGTTTGCTGCAACGCTCGCTGGTGGAACTGCGGGTGGTAGAACAGCTGTGCAGGAGGATGTAGCGGTTGAGTGTTGGGACCCAGGGGCTTTAATGGATGATGATCCAGAGTTGGTTGATTATGCGGAGAAGAGTGGAGTTAGTTAGCCGAAGTGTGAGTGCACAGGGATAGTGTGAAGGGCCGGGGCGCACTGGGCTGGTCCCCAGGGAATACTAGTGTGTGAGAGTTCATGTGTGCTTGTTGATGTGATGGGACGTCGTAGCTCAGTGTAGTCCAGAGTGGAGCAGGTTTTTGTACATTTTGTGTGCCAGCGGTTGGCCATCCCTATCTGAGCTAGTGCCGAAGAGGAACAAGATTTGAGGTTACGGGTTACTTCGAACTTGACGAGGTTGTGAGTGCGTGTATGTGAGTAAAGAAGCTGACTTTTGGTGGTATGTGGAACAAGGGTTTTGAAAGTGGAATAAGTGGATGCAGGTTTGGGACACTATCGATTTGATCAGATGGTGAAACGTTACACAGCTTATGCGGCTGCCTACCACTATCCGCGAGGAGCAGGTTGATGTTGCTCCCGTGAGCAAGAAGTTTGTCGCGTGGCGATCGGAAGGGCAGGTAGTCGCTGCTGCACACTACATGTGAAAGAGTGTTGTGTGCGTGTGTCTGTGTGCTCTTCTCCGGGGATTACAGGGCAGCTAAACTCCTGAAGTGTTGAACTTGGACAAAGGTTTAGCAGCATCCGCATGTTGGAAAGTAGAAAGCAGGCGTGTTGGGCGAGTGAGATCATTGAGATTGTGGCGTGAGTCCTTCAGCTGGATAGATTGGTGGAAACCGGATCAGGGGGGAGGGGAGAGGAGAGTCGGGGAGAGGTGAAGGCTGCTCCCAACAGTGTCTCACAAGCTGAGTTTCTCTGCTTGCGCTCAATGGACTTCTCGCTCAGTTTCGTGGCCACCACCACGCGCTTAGATTCCCCGAGTGCGTGCTCTCAAGGTTGACGTAAGAGCTAGGTAGTCTGTCGAGCCGATTCCTTGTCAATGCACACTATGAGCTCACCCAACTCGCCAGGGTCGCTGTCGCCCAACAACCACCTGAGTAGTTCGAAGCACTGTCGATCAGCCTCTGAAATGGACTTGGAAGATAGACGCGGCGGTGGTCCACTCAAAATGGCTCGAACTGATTCCTTTCATCGCCAGTCCGACCTTAAGATGCACATGAATGGAAGCCCCAGTGGAACCATGGTGCTTAGCAGTAGCATGGTTTCCGACGGTAGGCTTGGGTGTTCACCTACCAACTCTTGCGCCTCTGATGGGTCGCTCCTGGGCAATGACCACGGGAATGTCGTCTCCGACGCCAGACTTCTGAGACAAGATTCTCTGGTCTCGGCTTCTACATACTCTGGAGGTCAAGGTTGTGGAAGACCTCTCTCTTATCACCACCTGCAGTCTTCTGCATACCACTACAAGCCTTCAGGTGAAATGACCTCTACTGGTGTCAAGATTAGTTCTAAGATGCTCTCTTTTTGATGAGAGGTCGGTACTACCAGTGCTGAGGAAATCGAGGTCTGGGCCTCTATCTGAGGTCCACATTTGTGTTCTGTGCATTTGAGTGCGTGTGATTCCAGAATGTCACTTATCCTCATTGATGAATTTGTAAGAATACTGCTAGTCAGTTTGGAGTCAATTAGAGAGGCGACATTGACTTTGCTAAGGTTCGCCTTGTGAGTTTGGATTTTGAGTGGAAACTTTAAAGAAGGCGCCACCGCCTCCAGTACAGAATCCCTTCAAGATCATTGTTGTCAGCATGTACTTCTTGATCATTGCGTCGCTCTAGAAGGTTTTCAGTCATTCGTCTAGTTCTCAAAGCATCTGCCACGCTTCCTCAGTGCGACCTGTTCAGGCATTCCTCTGGTGGCATCCCGTCTTCGCTACTGATCACTGGCGTTAGTAATTCATGCTTTGAGTAGCTGGAGTGCAGTGAAGTCCAAGCTAGTGGTGCTTACATTTTAAGAGTTGCAGTAATATGGGATGGTAATCAAGCCTCTAACTCAAAGAAATCTTTCTCTTTAACGTGTGCAGGCGGTGGTCTATCAATGGGGAGGGAAAATATGAACCACATGGGTCAATCTGTACACAATCCAGTTAGCGGAGCCCGTGCTCCCTTCACCACTAGTCAGTGGGCAGAATTAGAGCATCAAGCACTTATCTTCAAATACATGATGGCAGGTGTTAACGTGCCGCAGGAGCTTCTGAACCCGATTCGCAAGAGTGTTGCGACAATGAATAGTTTATCCAGTCATCACACCACCAATCGTAAGCCCCTAATTTGCATATTCAAACGTTCTGCTCAATGCAGGTTTTATTTTTGGTCCTAATTGCACCCTAGGCTAGAAATTTTGTTTGAGCTTTTGGTGCCCATGTATGGAATCAGGTATGCCTTGCTTTCAACATCTCTCAACATGGGGTGCGATGAGAATTATTAGGTTTCTATTCACGTAGTTTTTTTTGGTCCCGTGGTTGGTGTCTGCAGTGGTATGGGGAGCCTTTCACTTGGGTGTCCCCAACAACACAGATCCAGAACCAGGACGTTGCCGGAGAACTGATGGGAAGAAGTGGCGTTGCGCCCGGGACGTCGTCCCTGATCAGAAGTACTGTGAACGTCACATGCACCGTGGCCGTCACCGTTCTCGCAGACCAGCGGAAGGTCAGACTTCATCTGCCTCACAATCAGGCTCCGCTACGTCCTCTGGACCCCAACCCGCCATTGCTGTGGGCGCCTCTCGCACTTCCACGCCCACTCCGGGCTCCAGCTTGACTCACAGCAACCTGAGGCCATCGATATTGTCAGGGAACTCGCAATCCACGCCTAACTTAGGCGGTGGTGGAATGGGTTACAACAGCCCTGGTGGCTCCGGAGGCTTGTCCGGAGGATCTTCTCCTGCCGCATCTTCCGGTCAGTTTCAGCTTCCGGGTCTCTCCTCGGCCGCTGGCACTTCAGGCCTGACCAGTAAAGACTACAGGTACTCTTACGTTACTATTTCTCTTGCTCCGATTAATATTTGGTCGAACTTGCCGTACTCGGCGCCCATTAATACCCATAGGCGCACATGGAAATGTCATCATCTACCTCAGTGTTCCACCTCTGTGTTGTGCGCACACAAGGGGTGCCATTGATTTGACTGTTACACACTGGAACTCATCTCGTTGATCACGCGTGCTGTCTGTCTGTCTGTCCATATTATCAAATGCCCCGATTGCGTGTCAATAGGATTAAGGCTGATTTTCTTATTGGGAAACGCTGCAGGTACATGAATGGGATGACTGTGAAGTCTGAGATGGGCATGGGCCCAGAACAGATACTTTTCTCGGAGGCATCTGGGAGCACTCGGGGGCTTAGTCAGGAAGCACAGTCATTGAGCAATTTATCCAGGTTGAATACCACAATGAACAAATCTTGGCAAACAATGACTTCATCCAAGGTACTGCCCGCCGCGCAGCCCAAGGGTAGCGGTAACAGCTCCCTTCTGAGCTATAACAGTTCTCAGATGGGAGGACTTCTGGGCCAGGAATTCGGCTTGATGCCGGAGGCTAGCCAGGTAAATCTAGCAGCAATGGCAGCCTCTCAACAGCAGCATTCATTTCTGAGCAACGGATATGGTGGGGTGGAATCGACCAGCGTAGGGCGGGAGTCGAGCGAGGGGCAGCCACTGCGACACTTCTTCGATGACTGGCCGCGCTCACGGGATCCGAGTGCCTTGGCGTGGGGGTCGGATGTGGAAGATTCAGACCGCACCACTAGCGCGGGCCGAGGAGGCCAGAGCAATCACACGAGCAATAACACGCAGCTTTCGATCTCCATCCCCATGACCGCTGCACCGTCGGGTGATTTCAACTCGCAGAGCAGCGGCGGCAGCCCATCCCGAGGCAAGTTATCTCTCTCACCCTTGAAGCTCTCGATTTCCAGGGCGGGGGATGCGTCATCTGACATAGGGGTTGGGTCTGGAAACGTTTGGGTTGAGTGTCACTATGACCGTCACCGGCACACCACCTGGGATTCCATTTCATGGAAACCCACATTGGTCGGTGGCCCTCTGGCTGAGGTTCAGCAGTCGGGTAGTAATAATCTGATTGTGGGCGGTGGCGGTGGCGGCGGTGTTGGTGGTGATGGTTCAGATCTCAACCTCCTCGCCGATGAGTGGTTCAATTACCATTGCAAAAAGTCATCGTTCTCTGTTCAAATTCTACCGTCCGACCACGTTGCTTCCCCTGTCGACGTTCTTCAGAGATCCACTTTTGCTTCACCTTATGATTCTAGTTGTAGTAATAGTAGCGCTAGCAGTCCACGCAGCACTGTTCCCTTGGACCCAGCTTCTGTGACCTCCGAATCCAAGACTGTTTAACCTTTTGAGCTCTGCTCAGAGTATACATATAATGTTTTTGGCATGGACGGAGGGAAACATTTTTATATGCCAAGGGAGTGGGAAAGTTGATGACAGCTATGGCTGGGCGTTCGACCATCGCCGTGCTACTATCATTGGAAGCACTTTATAATATTGGAAAAGAGGATTTATATAATGACATGGAGGATTGATTTTCGTTAATGGAAAGATTGGAAGATATTTTTAGCTCAAATAAGTAGAATGTTAGCAATGTAAGAGCGAAGGACATCACTGCTCTTGGCTGAGTTACGCATAGTACAGTTGGGTACCAATCTGCTGCCCTGGCAGAAGACAATGAACTTTTGGGGGGGGGGGATCCTGCTGGTTAGCGGGGGGACCTCTCTGTGAAAATGTGGAGGGAATGTGGGGCTGTAGAAGTGAGTGGATGAGAAAGTGTTGCGCTTTGCAACGTTGTATTCACCATCATGTTGGGCCTGCAGGATCAGGTTGAGTCTCAGTTCAAGTTCGTCACAATGAGTCGGTGAAGCCAACCTGCCAACAGGCAGTGAGTGAGTGGCTTTGTGCGGCTGCCTCAATTTTTCCTTTGATTTGATCATCTACTGCGGTTGGGTCTTATGCCATTTGGGAGCCCCAGATTATACCTCGCGGCAACCTTGTATTCCAGGGTGAATATACTCTTGGTTGCGATTGACAGCACTGTTTGGACTCCGGTATACTCTGATCAAGGCCTGAGTCGAGATGGAGATCTTCGTTCTGCTGGATCGTTGATCCAAATTTTGAGCATCTGTGCATGCTTTGCCCGCTGCACAGGAGCTGCGCCAACCTTCTTTTACTTCTGCGCCGTGCCATTAGTTCATGTTTTCTTAATCTGCAGGCATCTTCTTCTCACTATAAATTTGTTTGCCGCCTACATGACTCTGTATGCGGCGTTTTCATTAGAATCATCGTCATCCTCTCCTCCTCTTAGCTGGCTTTTGGGTTATGATGGACGACCCCCCCCCCCCCCGAAGTGGACGGCAGCATTATCATCTTGGTTTGTCTTCACACGCAGTTGGACCTCGTGGCCCGGTGCATGTCCCAATCAAGGCGCAAGTTGTATACTACATCTGACCACCACGGCGTCACTTTGCAAACTCATCTGTACTATGACTGCTCTTGGACAAGACATTTTTGAGAAATCTTTAATCCTCTTTCGTATAGAGGTTCCCCACCTCTCCCCCCTCCCCCTCTCCCAATGTCGAGTTTCTTACTTGCCCATTCTCTCCCCCTGGTGTGTTTCGGGTGTGAACTAGAACTTCCTAGCCTTGATTTTAATGTGTGCTTATTCACAAACCCCCTCACTGAAATTTTGTGTATCGGATCAATTAACCGTTCTGCATTCGTGTTCGCCGAAATGATTGTGGCACTGTTCTCTTCTCTGCATTCCTTGTTCCCCTGACACAGTGTGGTTTTCTTTTGTCTTAGACGCTGAGTCTGCAAATTTCTTATCATGTGTAGGACGCGAATCAAATGCTGTGGTCAATTTGCAGGATATAATCAATGAATACCAGGACTATTTGTGATAAGTAGCGAATGTTTGACACGGATGAGTTCTGGAATCTACAGATGGGAAGAGTACCCAGCCTTGATCACGGGTCTGATTAGCTTCCATTGTCACTGTCACTTATGCTGTTGTTTCTCACACGCGAAAGGATGTCTGTTGCGTTGAAAAGTCTAGGTACCTCACGCAGCGATCAATCTCAGTACAGATAAGCATTGTGCACTTCGGGAACTGTTCTGCGGTATATCGGCTTTTACTCACCATCGACAAGATAGGTCTAGTCAATTTTAGAGACTGCAAGCAGTTAATTTTCGACGGGTGGGTTGTTACGAATATCTTATTCCTGCTCAGGGCATGTCAAAAAGCTCCAGCAAAGAATCGAGAACTCCCTTTTGAGAAATTGCAGACATCTTATTTTTAACACCTAGCGCGATACTGAGCTCTCCTGAAAACGCAGACTGGTCGAGTGGAACGACGTCATGGTCCGCAATTCGGGTGATAGGTGCACGTCGTTTACCAGCCCAGACAGAGAGTTCGCAGTAACACGTGGTGACATTTGTCCCTTCTCAACAGATGCACAGGTCCTCTGTATTGACGACGACAGTTTTGCACTGAAATACTTCCACGTTCAAATGCCTTCGAATTCCTAGTGAGAACTTGGTGTCTAGTACACCAGAATGGAAGATGATGTGAAGATATATTGATTGTGATTTCGGGTAAAACGCGGAGTTTACCCCTCGTGTATAACCCAGGAAGCGTCCTGTGTGTACATGTCGTCTTAGTACTACGAAATCAATAGTGTGCTACGATATCGATCGTGGGCCCGAAGCTCGAGTAGTTCGTGCATTTTCTACAGAATTTATGATTGCCAGACAAGCATCTCCTGGAAGGCGAGTGCTTTTTGTAACCACTCTACTGCACTAGAATTTTCTCGTCTATGTTATCTTATTTTATATTATTTTTCTCACAAATCGTTTTTTGAGATAAGAACTTGGGAGACTGGTCCAGTTGTGCGAATGTTGTGTACGTTCATTCTTCTTGCCCTGTTCGCTTGCAAAAAAAAAAAAAACTCATTCATCGACGTAGTTGTCTTTCCACAAAAAGTTGTGTTTTTTCGCTCAGATGAGCGATTGCTAAGCACCTCTCGAAGGGAATGCCAGGGACAACCTTCATACCTCTGAATGGAAGATCTGAGAAGCTTTGAAATGTTAAAAAAAATACGGGGAGGATTTTCCTTGTGGGTGAGCTACCACCTGTACGTTTGGATGAGGGGACTGCAGCGATGTTACTTCGGACATTGCAGGAAACCTGGGCGATCCTAGTGTGTACGCTTAGCAGGAGGTTATGATGCATCATCCCTGAGTGGAGAATCGCTGGTGGTTTCCAGATTCCCTCAGGGAATGGTTCAACTACTCCATCCGAGATCATAACCTCCCTGTGTAAGTGTGTTTGTGGCATAATTCGTTGATAATTCCCAAGTGTGTCAGCGCCTAAACAGCAGATGACTGAGTTTTTTTTTTTTTTTTTTTTTTTTTTTTTTTCGTTTTTTTCTTTTCTCACTTACATTGTTGCCTTATTAGATTCTTCAGTCACTGTATTTTCCACAGTGGTATTTGAGTCAGAAACCAGCTGGTTGCACTTTCTAAGAAAATTCTCCCTAGGCGAGTGCCGTAGCGTCACCAGGACTGGCGTGGGGCGCAGAGGGAGTGTGTCAGCGCATGATGAATTTCTTGAAACCCTCCTTTGTACTTAATGAAATTTGCATATTATAAACGACGATGTAGGCCTGGGGGCGTCTGACCGCATTTTCGCAACGTAACTCACAAACACCTGCTGGAACTGCCCAGTCATCCTCCCCTCTTTGAAGATACTGGAGGCAGGGTCCCGATCTCCGTGTGGGCCCCCACACCCCCACAGAGAGCGAGAGAAAGCGCGAAAGAGAGAGAGAGAGAGTCTAGGCAGGTTATAGAATTCCCTCTGATGCTCTTGGATTGTTACTACGCGATCCCGAAGTGATCCAAGCCAGCAGCCAGCCAGCTCCGGCTCGAGCTTCCCCCCTTCTGTTGCAACTAGTGAGACACAAATGCACCCAATTATTGAGGATCTTGAATGCGGATGAATTCTTCGCTTGATGTGACATTAAAAGGGAGACGAATCCAAGGCTGTAAGAGCTCGTAGGCTGCGTTGATCATTCACGTGCTAGGACTGTGGGGCGCATGCAAGCAAAAAACGTACCATTGCTAAATCTTGAAATGGGCGTCAAGCAAGAGCAGAGGCTGAGCACGGTTTATGAGGTGCAGCGCTGCTGCTGCTGTTGCTGCGGTGCCTAGTAGTAGGTAGGTTCTGTTGCTGCAGCAGAGGCAGCAGCAGCTGTAGGCCCACTGACTGCACATATCAATTGCAATTCAAGGCACTAAAGTGCTTTTGTACCCACCTGCCCCCCCTGCCCCCAAGTGTGTGATCTGACGGTGTTGTGCACGTTACGATATTGCTACAGTAGTACCTCATAATTCCGTCAACAGTTTTATGACGGTGTATTTAAGTCCATGGATGGACCTCATTATGGCTCCCCTCAGATTTGCCAATACACGATGTGAAAAATTTACCCCTCTTACAGTCACCTCCCTGCTTCCATATCCGAACTGCACTGAGTATATGCTTTTGTGTGTGTGTGTGTGCTTGTGTGTATATATTTGTGTATATGTGTGTCTTGCAAGACTGCGATTTTCCACACTCCAAGCCTCCGCTCAGTTTGCCCTTTTCTCATCCACTTTGTATTAGTCAAATGCCTCTAATCGCGAGGACCAGATTAAAAGATATCCCTATACATTTTTATTTTTTTTACATTTATTTACTTCAATCTCGGATTAGAGCAGTGGTGATCCTGCAACGTAACTACAGGTTGATTGGTCCCTTCAGAATACCCAAGTTCATGACCTGTGATTCATTTTTGCTTGTTTTGTTATTCAAAGGAATCTTCATTTCTTCTGCTATTCACTGGATTGTGATTTTTCTGGTTTAATTTCAGCTTGAAAGCCGTATAATTGTGTCTTGTTATGGAATTTGCCGATCCGTAGGCGTTCATTAAAGTTCGTAAAAACCCTTTGATTTTGTTAGAACTCCCTCTGGATGTCTGATGGATTGTATAGCTTTTATCGACATTAAATTGTCTGTGTTTCATTGTGATGAGGACTTTAAGTTTCTTGTTGATATGATAAGCATCATTGAATGGGTAGAATATTATTGAGGTTAATCATGAGATCTTTTGAGAAAGTTTATTAGAATTCCAGAAGTAAAACTCCACCAAGATCTGCTGTATTTAATGGATTTTTGGTTCATTACATTCGAAACAATCATGTTCCACATATAAATAATCCTACACCATGATCCTAAAGAGAATTACATCTACAATAAATGTAATAAACCAGTACATAAATTTTGGCAAGTGAAAAATTGTTTCATACCAATTGAAAGTGAATAATCAAGATGCATACGGAATGACTATTATGAAATGCGTTTAACACGCAAATTAAATGCTTTCAATAAAAAACATGCAATTATGTATTCATTATTTATATATGCGTATATTTACGCATGATATACATATTTTTTGTTGTCACAGTTTGAGTAAAAAACAATAACCTAAACATAGTTTTATTATTAATATCACGGTTTTAAATTAATAATAAATCCTGAATAAAATTGTGACATGGTTGAGTCATAATATAATATAAAAATATAGATTTTTTTTTAATATTTTAAATCTAAACCAATTTTTCGAAAAATCTAATGGTTTTTTGTTGCTTTTTTTTAGTATCAGTAAAATCATTCAATCTAAAACACCTATAGAAAATTCTATTTTCAGAAATTTTCCAAGCAATTGAAGTTTACCATAATATAACCAAAGAACTTTCATTTTCAATGAAAATCTTCTCAATTTAAAATACTGATCTACTTTAAACTCAAAATTGTATTACTTGAACCTATGGTATAATGATTTCTAGTTATGTTCACTTCCTTAAGTTCAAGGAGACAGAATTATGTATGTATATATATATATATATATATATATATTTGTACATTGATTTAAAAAAAAATAAAATTTAATCCTAAAGAAAGGCCGAAGTTTTTAATACATTGTTGTAAATGACATACTGTATTTTGTTCCTAATTCAAGAATGAATACTCTGAAATTTTACATGTTGTAGCATTCCAACGAATGAGAACACGAGAGCGTGCAATCTGAAAAGTAACATCGAGCATGATAACGACCCTTCTAGTTTTCTACTAGATTCACATTTCAAGGGTAGAAATTCGTGGATGTTCAAGAGTTCATTCACATATAATTCTAAATAAAGAATAAATATAATATCTACAACCCCACCGGAGCCCTGTAACTGTCCCGGTATTGAGCACTGACAAGCATTGCAAGCTATCGTCAGCTATGGCGCCCCCTGAAGCTGGTGCCGCGATCGACCTCTACACCGAGCTTCCGAGGCCCCTTGCAACGAATTTCTGAGCTTGAAGGTTCGGCGAGGTTCAGATCGAGAGCTTTGGGATTGTGGGTTGTAGAATTACCAGCAGCCGTCGCCGCGGCGGTGGAGATATTCATAAATTTCTCGACAAAAAGGCGCTCCAAATCCCGTTCGGAGCTGCGGTGGAGGTTCTGTAT